CCCCAGCCACGAGGAGCTCAAGTCAATGTTGTGTTTTGATATTTACACCAGTTGCACAAAGCCCCTCTTCTTTTCTTTCCTAGTTTTTGACCTCCTGGCTCGCTGCTTCCCTGCTGCAGATGCACGTGTGCGGGTGTAAGGGGCATGAGGCTGCTCTCAAAACACTGGTAGATTTGGGATATGGGGTCCCATCGCTGCCTTTAGGTCTTCCTGGGGAGCAGAACGGTGGGGTGTTTCAGCGCCAAACTGGGAGGGACTCTTTGGGGAAGAAACGTGAGGTTTTCAGCCCTTTACGAGAAGGGAGTTCACTGCAGAGGATGGCCGAGGGGCTGCTGTCAGGGCCAGGGCAATAGCACCCCGCTGCAAGAACACCCCGTCTTTGATCCCTTGATCACAGCCCTAGAGCATTTCCTCACCCCTACCAGGAATGCTTTTCTCTATGTCCTCCCAGGAGACGGACACATGTCCCCACCGAGCACTGACCATACCAGTGCCCAGCTCTTTGCTTGGCCACCCTCATCCTCACCTCACCTGCTGAGAGCAAGGCGGAGGATGAGGGTCTGGGAAAAGGGGGGGCTTTGGGGGCTGAAGGCACAGGACAAGGGGGACCGGCAATAGGAAGGATACTGGGAAAAAGGGACCCCTGGCATAAAACTTCCCCTCATACCACCCAGGTGGAAACACACCCCACACTGCTGTACTTTCCAACAAGTAACAGGTTTATATGCTTGCTAAGGCGATCGCCCGGCTCCACCAGAACACCACATGGCACTTGGCCTTGCTCTGCTCGCCGCCTTGCCTCTTTACCTGCTGCAGTGGGACCGGGGGCTGTAAGTTACTCTTTAGCTGGGGAATCTGCATTTCTTTCTACCCCCTCTCCTCCTCCAGCAGATGCCGGCTCCACTTAGCCCTCTTCTGTGACACTTAAATGACACACCTCCTTGACTCATTAAACCCAAACTCGTTAATAATCATGCAGGATGGAAGGGGAGGGGATGGAAAAAGGGAGGGAGGGAAGTCTTAAACCCAAATTAGCGTCTCTAAGCACCCAGGTGTTGTAAGAGAAAGAAACTGCTCAGCACCAGCTCAGCCTGTGCTGGGAGAAGCCTTTTGTTACCCTGCAAAACACAGTAATCGCGCAGGCAGCTGGGCTGGCAGGCCTGGCAGGGAGACAAAACCCCAGGGCTGCCCGGGGAAGGCAGGGCCCTCCTGCCGCTGCCTGCGGCTCCTTGGAAAAACAAGCAATTAGCGGGGGGCCCTTTCTGTCCCCCTGCACTGCTCCGTCCTCCCAGCAACAAACTGGGGCTGGAGTGCATCTGCCCCAGCTCAGTGCAGGCCCTGCGATGGGGCTGCTGTGGCTGCTAATCCTGGGCTCAAGGAGAAATGATTCCCTGAAATGCTCCGGGCACAGTTAAAATTGCTGCCTGTTGTGAGGAAGGGGAATTGGGGTCCCCTGGCTCATGCAACGCCTTTTAACCCTGCGTGCTCTCACTACACCCCACAGTTAGGCTATCTCCTTATCTCCTGACGGTCCCACCAGCATTGCACTCCACGGGCAAGACTCCCTTTAGAAAAACCTAAACCCAATCTGCAAGAGGGTTCCTCTGAGAAGGGAACCCCACGGCCCCCACCTCCCACGCCGTGGCCGGACCCTCGGATCGCGGCACGGCGCCAGCTCCCTTCTCCCTTCTACCCCACCCGCCCCAGGTCTGCTGCAGACCTCAGCAGTTTGCTCGCAAGCAAGTCACAGTGCTGGGGGCGGGGGGGGGGACAACCCTGCAAAAGATGATGCATATCTGATAGGAAAGGGCGGGAAAAAGAAGGGAATGGATTTTTTTTTCCCCCTCAGGAATTATGTCAGGAAGGATTTCTAGCCTTCTATTTATAGTAGGGACTGGCTGACCGGCAATAAATAAATATTCTCTCATGGAAGAGGTCTGGAGGAAAGAGCCAAGGGACCTCATACTTGCCTGGGTGGGGACAGGTCACCCCTACTCATCACCAAAACTTCCCAGCAAATTCCTCCTTAACTAGGTCTCTCCCTCCAACAGAAATTAATTTGCTGGCTCCTGGCTTGGCAGAAGAACAAGGAGCTGAATTCTTTGGACCTTTGGACCAGCTGGTAGTGCTTTGGAGAGTGGCAGCGATGGGGAGACGGGGACGTCTGGGAGGATGGAGCAGGTCTGTGACAGACCCTCTGTAAAGCACCGACCCTTCGTCCAGCCCTGGGGAGCTGGGACAGATCCACCTGCTCCTCGAGGTGGCGAAGGGACTGCACCGGGCGCACGGGGGCTCTTACTCCAAACTGGGGAAGGGGGACCCGGCATTGCCATCGCATCAGTATCGGGGATGATTGCTATCAATGGCCAGGTAGGTGAGAAAGGAAGCGGAGAATGCCAGGAATCTGGAGGTGACGCCGGCACGCGTGCCGTCGGCGGCACTCCCTAGCGACGCAGGCTGTCAGAGCTGCCTCCTGAGTCATAGCTCCTGCTCCTGCTGCGGCTGCTCCTGGGGCCCGAACTCCGGCTGCGGCTCCTGCCCTCGGTGCTGCTGCTGCTCCAGCTTCGGCTCCGGCTTGTCCGGTAGCTGGAGTAGCTCCGGCTCCTGCTCGGGGAGCGGCTAAAGCTGCTGTACCAGGAGGAAGAGCTGCTGGCGCTGCTGGAGGAGGAGGGACTGGGACGGTAGTAGGGGATGGGGCGTTTGCGGGCACTGTGGGGACAGAAGGACGTGGGTTACTGGTAACACAAGGACTGATTTACTGCCAAAATCTCCCAAAAGCACTTTTTACTCTGCACAACACTCCCCCAAAATGTGATTGTGTTTGTTTAAAAGTTAATAAAGGAAGAGAACAGGTAGTCAGTGGGCCTTGGGATTCAAAGCACCAAGTCTGAGGCCAGGCTCTTGTCCCAAAGAGCCTTCAGCATGAAGGTTAGAGTCAATATTTGACTGTCTCTACAGTGTGGAACATCTACCGCAGGAGACGGTGAAACAAAAAGCTTGTAATGGTATGCTCCTGACACCTGCCAGGTGAATCCCTGCTCTGCCTTCATCTGCCTTTTTTCCTTTGTTGTAAATGAGACCGCCCCCCCCCTCATTCTCCCTCTGCCTCTAGCTGGAAATCCCTAAGCTCTAGGAGGGGCAGAAGGGCCTCCTGCCCAGGCTCAGGGAAACCGGTCTCCTCTTGGAGAAACCTCCGCTGGCAAGGGCTGGGACCCAAGGACAGCCCACCTTCTCCCCAGGGAGTGCCAGCTGAGCCTGTCTCCAAACAACAGGACCTCTTCCCCTTACCTTGTGATGCGCCGAGCTTCGAGGTGGCTGGGAGAGTCTCTCCTGCGTTTCCTCAGGGGTGAATAGGATCGCCGCCGCCGCCGCCGGTCACGCTCCCTGTGTGATTCCTTCTCACTGGAGCCATATTTGTGCTCTCGCTCGCGGTCTCTGGGGAAGACACAAATTGGAAACTGTCACTGCTGGGTTTTTGTGGGGTGGGTTTTGGATTTGGAGGCAATGACCCATGAAGGCACAGAAATGCTCTGGTGGCATCAGCCCTGCGCACGCTCGCTTAGCTGGACAAAGAGTCACTCATCTGGCTGGACAGATGGACACCCACTAATTGAGTCTGGTGGTTTCAGCAGTGTCTCCTGGTGGCCTCATGCTGTCGAGCTACGATGGCTTCCGTGTACCTGTATCTGTGGATGCACTCGGTATTTAGCTCTACTAAAAGTGCTCTTGCTGGCTGTGCTGCAGAAGCAGACGAGAACAACCCTGCCGGCAGGCTCCACGTGAGCGGAGGGCCCCCGGTATCCCTGCAGGGCTGTGCAGCTCCGCATGGCTCGCAAGAAGGAGTGCCGGTGTTGCTATGGTTTTCTCCTCTGTTAAATTCCTGTACACGTCAGCACAGGCCCTTCCGTGGAGCGTAGCTGACTTCATACACCCTGCTCAATGCCATATGCAAAGCAACGTGTTACAGGTCAAGGGCCTCATCCTTGCATGCAGGAAATATTCTCGTACAACAGTGCAGGGATTGTCATGGCCTGGAAGAATCAGACCCTGGGAATGGAACATTTTAAGGGTGCAAAATGTTCACAGTGGCAGAGATGTTACCAGAAAAACCTGCCCAAAGGCACCTCTAGAGCAGAGCTGAGCTGTGAGATGTCTGTTTTCTGTGGGGTGTGGAGGGAGTAGAGTAGCCTGGACTGCATTTCCCCCCGCAAGGCTGTGTGGGTGCCAGCACGAGGGTACCTGGCATCTGCGCACGCCGCAGGGGCGCTTCCCAGGGCCTGACGACTCTTTGGCAGAGCCACGACTCTGAAAAGCGGAGTGTCCGTCCCTGCTGCAATGAGATCCCTCTCTGACAAGGGCTGCAGCCCTGCTGCCGGGGCTGCTGCCTGGTGCGGGCTCCTCAGGCGACGAAAGATGTGGGCAGACCCAACCGGAGCCCAACGCTCTACCCACCGTTTACACCAGCACGATAGAGAGGGGCACTTCCCGGGTTTTCCTACGAGGCATCTCCCACTCACATGAGGCCCTGGCAAACACCATCGAGCAGCCACCTGCGCACTCTTGGCTGCATAGCGTGTTCCCTGCAAGGGCTCAGAGCGGAGGAACAGCCCCTTCACCTGCCTCACGCTCCGAGGGTGAGATTCCGTGATGCTTCAATGCTAGAGATAAACTAGGCCTCTCTCCCAGCAACCTACCACCGAAAGCACTTTGAGAGAGTGAAATTCCCCTGAATCAAGGCAGGGCAAGTCCTTGGCTATAGGAAATCACTCTTCCCACAGCAAGTGAAAGGCTCACATCTCTGGGCTCTTCCCTCTGCAACCAGCACCAGCTCTGGGGCAATAAATGGTGAGAAATTTCCACTGGACTGAGGGCCAACATAACATACTGCATTAGGCCTTACTCCATGGCCCCCTGCTCCCTCTCGCCCCGGTGCTGAAGACTAAAGCACCCAGTGAGGAAGCTGAGGGAGCAGTTTGGGACTGGTAGAAGGAGCCAGTGAGTGTGCTGGAGTCCAAACAAGTGATGGAGGCAGTAGGAAAGCGTGAGGCAGCAGATATGACATGAGACAGCTGTACCTGTTAGGGCTGTAACGGGAGTAACTAGGGCTCCGACGAGGTCTTGAACTCCTGCTCCCAGGACTTTTTTTGCAGGATTTGGAGGAATAGCTGGGGGAACGTGAAGAAGACCTGGAGATAGGCAAGAACCATAAAAGAGTTAAAGATGCTAGAGGGTAACGCTGTACCAGACTCCTCCAAATCTGGGCTCAGGGGGAAGAGATACCCCATATTTCATGGTCTCAGATCAACTCTGAGTGGCTAGTTCACCCCAAGCCATGTGAATTCCTCGGCACCCCCAAACTCTTACACCTCCTCCTGCACGCAGCGTGCCAGCCTCTAAGAGTTAGACATTGCCCAGGATCACAGACACAGCCATTTTAGCTGGCCTTACCTCTTTCCCGAAGAGCAGGACCTGCTTCGGGAGTACCTGGGAGAGGCCTTGTGGTGTGAGGAGCGGGAGCGGCTGGAGCTGGGGGAGGATCTGCCCGTGCTGGTGTACGACTCGCTGCGGGAACACGGCCTCAGCGGGGAGCTGTGGGTTGGGGACGGGAGGAAGTTTCGTTTCTTCTCCTCCGAACAGCTGAGGCACAAGGACAGGCACCCCCTGCGAACATATATTTGGACAGTCATTGAAGCTGTGGCTGAACTGGGACTGGTCCCTGGCTGAGGGGAGCACCATGCTCCAACCAACAAGTACTCCCATCCTCCCATTCCCCAGCTGGGGATAAAGAAGACCTCCCAGCTCCCCAGGGTGCTGTTGCAGCAGACCCCATGTGTGTGTGGGTCAGAGCCCAAGAGCTCACCCTCCAGGCTGTGCCAGGGCAGGGCTGTGGAAGAGGTCTCGGGTGGTGTGAGGGGCAGCTCTCCGCCCCATGCCCGGCACACCAGAGGCATCTGGTTGGCAGAGCCTGGGTCAGGGCAGCAAGCAGGTCCTGGGGAAGGAGCTGGAGCAAGGGAAAGCCAGAGTGTGGCAGGGCAAGGGCCTGTGCTCCAGCCTGGCTGTGGAGCAGAACGAGCGGGCACGTCCCGTTCCCTTTGGACAGGGCTGTGTGAATTCCTCCACTTCCAGAAGCATCCTGGGTATGAACTGGGGTTAGAGCCCAGCAGCAAGGCAGCCTTCCAACAGGCAGGGCCAGGGGCAATCCCAGCTCCACCCACGTGAAGTCTGAGTTCTCCCACTGGAGTCACAATGTGAAAAGTATGTACAGCCCTAAAATTTTACCCTCTGACTGAAAATCGAGGGCTTGTTCTTCCTAACACCAATTCCCATCTCCCTCTCCTCCCTCATCCAGTAATCCCACCGCCAGACCACATCCTGGCTCTAACTTTCAGCATTTAAGACCCGAGGGCCTGAGCTGGAAGAGCTCCCTAACACCACCGAGCACAGCCTTGGGCACCAGCCACCACGCTTCAGCGCCTTCATCCCCAACATCACCTGGCAAACCCCCAGGAAGGGGAGGTGGTGATGGAGGCTGGCATCAACTCCCCTCTCCTGATGATGACCTGTGGCACCGGATGGTGGTTTGGCTCCTGTCCCCGGCCCTGATGCCCTATGGCACAGAGCTGCTGCTGTGTTATCCTGCACGTGCCCCTCCCTGTGCCCCCCACCTGCAGGAGATGCTATCTTGTCACCCCGGACCAGTCCTGAATGAGCTGGGAAGGAGCAGGCCGGACTTGGCTCATTGGACAGGTGAAAGAACAGCCTGTAATGGTTTTAGCGAAAATGAACCCCACTCCCCTTCCCCACAGTAAGTGGACGGGGAGAATTAGCACAGCAACCCCTGATGCACCTTTCCAGACTTTGCCCAGTACGGTCAGCAACTCTTTTCTTTGGTTTGGTCCTGCCCAGCTGAGCAAGGCTGCATTGAGGACACGGCTCAACCCAGGGCCAAACCCTGCATTAGCCACATTAATGCCAGAAGAGCCAGCACAGGGGCGTGATGGCTGGGTTTTCATCTTCCTCCTCAGGCTACAGTATTGGTCACCACTGGGTTGTGGGCTCCAGACTGGCAAGACCGTGGGTCTGATTTATATCTAACTGCCTCCAGACCGCAAAAACCTCCCTGTTAGCTCACCACTGCAACTGGCGAGCGGGCAGGGGATACAGAACAACAACGTACCAGGTATTTGGCTGCCAGCAGCAGCTACTGGTAATCACTGACCTTCGGTCTTGTCCCTGGGCATCTGGAGACAGATTTTCCAAAGCTGTTCCCTTGGTCTGGGAAAAGCAACTGGTGAAGGAATTTCCTGAATCAGAGCTGTTATCGCTGTTGGCCAGTTTGGGCTTCCCGGACGAGAAGGCATGGCCAAAGCCATCATGGACTAGACTTCTTTTCTCCTGGCTGTCCTTTGACCTGGATGAGCTCGTTTGAGTGGAGGGAGGGGAGGAAGTATCGTTTCCTGAGTCATATTCATGATACTCTCCATTCTGGCTGGCTAGGTTGCCAGGCGGGCTGTCTGTTTTGGTAAAGAGGTCAGCAGAAGACCCTGACTGAGAGATCTGAAAGCAAAAAAGCCATTTGGCATTGTTTGAACGGTTTTTGGGGGGTGTTTTTGGTTTTACTTCACTTTTTTTTTTAAATAAACTCAGAAATTTTACCATCATGATGCACTGAAACAAAAGGAAAGGAAAGAAACAAAGAAAGAAAGAAAGAAAGAAAAAGAAGAAAGAGGAGAAGAAAACAAAAGCATATATCCCTGAAAGAAATCCACAATAAGCAGAAACTTCTTTTCCCCCTGCTATGATAACGGGAAGATTTAGAGATCATGCAAAGAGTATCAGCATGCGATTCATGTTAAACAAAAGAGTTCAACAAAGTAAACGGGCAACCAAAGAATCAAAATAACTAACTGAATAAAAAAGGTGTAACAGAGGACAAAGCCCTTATTTAACCTTAGAGAGGGGGAGAAAAAAAAAAGATGGGTATATACATATAAAAAACCCTACATAATCTTTGGGAAGAAAACAAAAATGAAACAAAATCTTAAATGAGCAAATTTGTTAAGCTTTCTTATTAGAGGCTGAACAAATGTCACTAAAATAAGCAAACAAAAAATCAAATCAAGGGCTTCTGTACAAAGTAAAAACTGGCAAATAAACAAGCTTATCACTTTGAAACAAAAAAGAAAAAAAAAGAAAAAAAAAAGGAGGGGGAGGGAAAAAAGAAAAATCCCTCTGGAAATAAAAGGTATACAGATACTTCTTTGTGTGCTTTTTTCCCCCTGAAGAAGATATAGCTAATGCGCTCAAGTGACCTCTAATAAATTCCCTGGTGTCTTGCGGATAGCATCCACTTACCCATCAAGAACTCCTCCTTTAGTAGGTAAGGTGTAAGAAAAAAGGAAGAGCGGGCAACATAAGTCCATCATTAGTCTCAAATGACATGAAAAAAACATAAACCCTCTCTTCAATCCACACTGCCAACTGTTTGCTTGCCTCCTCTATGCAAATGTCACGACTGCTTTTTGTCTGCTTGCTTGTCTCACTTATTATTCATTTTTGTTTCCTTCTGCTTTAAATTAGGGCGTCCAGCCTGTTCCTGGAGGCTGATCACTTGTGCTGAAAAGTCACAGCTTGCACTAAATCCCCTTGGGTTTCGTGGAAGTGATAAAGGGCACTCAAGTGAGGGAAGAAGTAAAAAAAAATAAAGTAGAGGAGGAAAAATATCCCCCCCTGTGCTGTATTGGAGACCTACAGGGAAGGGGACAACAGCCCTGCTCCTGTCAGCCTCTGCGTGGGGTTCAACCCTACCCTGGCTGGGTTTCTGTGGGTTGCTGAACCCAACAGGTCAGCAAGGACCCCAAACCCACGTAGGCTGCCCTGGGCAGGGCTGTTGTCTGGGACCCTGAGCACCACCAAGGGGATTTACATCATTTGAGTATTATATAGTTCAGTTTTAACTCCAGTGGCATTTCCCTGAGCCAGTCCAGGAAGGTACCGGCACTGGGAGTGAGGCAATGTTAGTGCTAACGTCTGCCCTTGCAACAGGGTCAGAATTAGGGGCAAATGGGGACCCAGCACACCTGCACTCCATGGCCACCTCCTCTTTCACTCAGATGCTCTGTTCTCCTCATTCCCACCCATAAGGTTTGTTCTGGGGTCTTTAGAGTGTGGACACATAGGTTTGGTTCCCTCTGCTCGGGATAGTCCTCCAACATGTTCCCAGCAATCCGTGCTCCCTCAAACACCTGCATATGTCCTCACACCACGCTCTGGGGCGCACAATGCCCTCCCTCTATGCCATGCGCTCACAGATATGGGGTATTCTGAGCCGAGAAAACCACATTGTAAGGCTGGTAATATCTGAGGGAGCAGAGGAGACTCGGATCAGTTATCACACAGCAGGGACTGGGCCAGTCCCTTTGGAGAGCTTAGCCCTGGACCAGCTGGTTCAGGGACAGGGCTCTTTCTCATCCACAACGGGGCTACAGACCCAACTATGTCACTTTTTACATGGAGTTCCTTCATCCCATCAGATGGTGCCTTCACATCTACCCTCCTGCCAGTGGCATCTGATCTGTGTCCCTGGGGGGGTTGCTCTTGACCTAGTTCAAGAGGTGCTAACTGGGACAGGGACAGCTGACTCCGACGCATGTGCTGCACCAGCAGTGACTGAAACCAGAGCGGAGCTGCCAACACGCCGAGCGGCTCTCGGCACACAGTCTGCAGAATGATGACTGCCCACAACATCCTCACTCTCTGAAAACACCTGGAGTTGGAGGATCTCCACATACTTCCTGCGTTGCCAAGGAGAGAGGCATTACTGCTTCTGGGAAAAGGGACAGAGGGACAGGAATCAGTTCATCCCAGCAAATCTGTACTGGAGCTGGGGACTCCCTATCCCCACTCCATACTAACTTCTAAGCCATGCTCCTAACTCGGAGGCATCGGGATCCCCAGCAGCAGACATGGGAAATGAAGTGATCCTTCTTCACTAGCCAACTTGCACCTTCAACATGGAAATACTGGACAGAGCAGAAACATCTCCCAAATGTTCCCAACCAGGAATGAGTGGAGACACACATTGCAAGTCCTCATTTCAGCATCTGGTACTGCTCCTTGCTGCTTCTCAGTTCTAACACTCCTCTACCAGTTCTTGTTTATTCCAGTACAAACTGGAATGTCAAAGGAGCATAAGAGAGACAGGTATCAGGCTCTGGTTTTCACCAGTTCTTTCTGAAACCCTGATGCCACATCCAGAGCCCTGAGAGAACCTTGCTAGGAACCACCGCGCTCTCCCCAACTGCATCCCAGAAGATATAGGATTGTGCTTTCAAATATGGCACCAGATTTTTTTTTAAAGAGATGGGTTATGATTTGCATTAGATCGGAACCCTAACCAAGAGACAACCAGCTTTTCACCACCTTTCATTTGCAGGCATAAAACCACCATGTGAGGTCCTCCCTGGCTGCAGAAGCAGGAACGACCTGGAGGGGGCACGGGGCTGCTCCGAGGGACACTGACCCCAGCATCCAACACACAAACACCTCGCTTCTGTTCCCTCCCAGTCTAAACCCAAAGACCTTTCTTTCTGCCAAGAAATACAGCAGTTTCTTGGCATTTCTAAAACAGCTTTTAAGACTGCTGCTGGGACCTGGGACCTTGCTTTTGCTTTGCCTTCGCTGAAGTCTACCTTCAAAGTAGCAACTGTTGTCAGTACATCACAAATTCTGTCAAATGACCGGGGGATCAAGCAGCTCCTCTGTAGCTCAACATCTGTGGCAGCAGCACTCTGGGAAGAGGCAACATGTGGATATCAGTGAAATATGGAGCCCACAGTCCTTGCGAGGGCTGGAGGGTCTGGCTAGGGCAAGGCAGGTGCCGGGGGGAACACAGCAGCTTCTCAGCACAAGTCTCAAGGTGCTCAACTTGCCTCTCTGCTTGGACAAATTCCCCATCTGATGACCTTGGCTTTGCTTCTGGTCCCATTCTACTGCTTCTGACAGGCATGCCAGCCACAGGAGATGGAAACAGAGCACCACATCTGAAAATACTGTGCAGAGCTCAATTGAATTCTAATGGCTTTTTATTTTTCTAGGGTGTCTTAAAATAAGTCTGCTCTTTCATGAATCTAATTTTCACTATAAGAACATTTGGATTTTTTTCCCCCTCTCTAATAAGTAATTAAATAGTCTCAGTGAACTTTGCTTTCTCCAGCTTTCAGCAGGGGACCCACTGCTGCCCTCAAGGGAACTCAAGATATATATTTATTGGATTTTTTTTGTTTCAAATCATTATTTAATCAAGATGAAGGGGGAGTAGAAATGAAGCCCTCACTCATACTCCAGACTGTAATTTTGAGTGCGATCCTAGACCAAGAGGCAGTGCAGTCTAATAGGTTACAAAAACACAATCACTACTCGTCTTGCAGCGAAACTGAACACGTCCATTTACTGTGCTGCAAACAGCCCTGAGGCGAGAGATGACTATACATTTTCTCAGCCATAAGGAGACCAAGACCCATCGACGAGCAGCGTGGCACAGCCTTGCTTATAGTTGGAGGATTTCTTTCTTGGGTCTTTTTTCCTCTTGTTTTGCAACTCACTTCAAAGTGGAATTAATTTCTTTTTCAGAGGTGCATAATCTCTCCCTTTCTTTCTTTTTCTGTGCATTGTAATAATGAAAGGAATAAAAAACTTGTGTCAGTGACCCCGGCGAGCCTTGCTCTTGGCCAGGGCCCGGCAGACATCTGCCGAGGAGCTGCCGGCACGGGGAGCAGCATCTGCTGAGGGGGGCTGCTCGGGGGGACGAGGCTGCGTGCCAGGTCTGGGGTACCCCCATCTTCCAGAGCAGGAGGCTAGGGGGAGGCCTTCGTCTGGGGTAAGGGGCTCACCTCTGCTGACGATTTGCCCCGGCTGAAAAGCCAACTCCTTATTAAGGGAGTACAAAAAATAGCAGTGCTGTAGGAATACAATATAACCTCTTTTTGCACAATTATGAATCCCTCACAAGGAATATTGAATGGAAAATACCCTTTTTTTTTTTTTTTTTTTTTTGATGGAG